AAAAAAAAAGATCAAAACTGGTCATCACCCTCTAACCTAATCTAGGGTGTTCACGGTTCGATCTATTTTTCAGTTAAAAAGCAAGTATACACACCATAATTAGATCAAACATAGAGTTGGCTTTCTCAATCTTTCATTATATTTTGATTTTATTTGTTACTACAAATTCAAATATAATTATTTTCATTCAATTCACTAGAGTTACGATTTTAGAGGTAAAATTATGTACGGTCGATTTAGGAGTAAGGTATATAGCAATGCCAAAAATATAGTGTTGTAGGCTCAACTATATGAGTCTGATTCTGCATCGTTCGCCCTTCTTTTGATATTTATAGTTGTCCATGCCCCTCGGAGTCCAAGTAGTTCGTCAAAAGGAATTAGCCATTAGGTTCAATATTCGCTCCATTAGATTCTCGAAGTTGGTTGAGCAATCTATTAGATGTGTGCCTTATCCTCTTAGACTCAGTCAAGAGAGGGTCAACATGGGCGGTAGTGAGGTTGGATATATGGGGTGGCCTCCTATGAGCCGCATTGCCTCATCCTCTACGCATAGATACAATTGGGCGAGGAACGAACCATTAGCTGAGAGGTCATTTGTAGGGCTTGTTCTAAAGCACTGTAAGATCGGTCCGGAGATCGTTCCTCCAAGCATGCACTAGGCGCATATATTTTTTAACCGCTACAGTTAACTCCCTACTTGATAAAGTCGAACATCTTTGCCTCTAAAATTTAAAACCGCCAAAAGAAAAAAGAGGTAATCACAACATTTATAACTCATACATGTGTATAGGATGTTTATGGGTTGTATTTGTGGTTGGAGTAAATCTGGGTGAACCTTAGATGTGGGTCATTAGTGGAGGTGGCTAGAAAGTTGGAGAAGATAATCTATATATATAATAAAGCCGGGCATAGAAAATCTGAAGGCATCTTCCAGAAATGAGGATTGCAATTCCCCTATTTTTTGCTTTTATCCCTATTTTTTCTATTTATTTATGTTCATTGATATATGATAAATAAAAATTAATGTTCTTCCAAAAAGATTGAAACGGATGCAAACAATTAATAAAAAGTGAAACGGTTGTAAAAAGTTAATAAAATTAACTGTAGCAATTTGAACGGATGCCTAGATAACGAAAAGTTTATAACATTGAATATATATAGTGGTGCCAATCAGAAAGCCTGTCTTCCTCCTCAAAACCAATCTTTCACCCATTTTCATCTGGTTCATAATTACAGAGTTTCTCTTTCAACCTTATATCAAATTGAAATTGTATTTATATCTTTTTTTATCCCTATAAGAAAATATATACTTATTGTTTGTATATTTTGATTCTTGGAGATAAGATCTCCTATTGTACTTTCTTTATGTCAGTCTAAGAGAGTTGCGCGGGCGCCTTATTTGTTTAATTTGTTGATATTTGTTTTTGTTCTTCTGTATGACATTGCTGGTCTGAGTGATAAAATAATAATAATTGTCAATATGGTTCTACTGCCTTACGGTTAGAAGATGTGATCCACAATTAGAACATGTGATCCACAATTAGAACATGTGTTACCTATATATGTAAATGCATAGTTCTTGGTAACTTAGCCAGTATTTATTTTCATGTTTTTTGAGTCTTTTATTTCTTGATTTTATTGCTCTACTAGGTTGATTAAAAAATAGGCTTAATTCCAGAAAAAACATCGTTGCAGGAAGAAGCTCAACGATAAATGCATTTACATGCTGAGACCTGTTGTTTCAGAGATTATTAAGGTAAAAGATTACATACAGGAAATTTATCATTATTTTCAATTGTGATTTTAATATATTTTAGTATTTTTCACCTTATTTTTATTGTTCCTTCCTGAATATTACTTTTAGTTTACTTTTCTGTAATCGACAAAATATATATATGAAGATAGTTTGGAGATATGGTCCTGCGAATCTGGTGGCACTTAGATATGGTGAAT